GGGGTTGTGTAGTTTGGTGAACCAGATTATTTTCTTTCTCTGAAAGAGAGTTAATATAACTGCAAAGAATTACACATATTTTTATTTGTATTTGCGTTCACCTACCAGCCAGGCTTTTTCAATTGAAATCGTCCAATTTTCGGAGCTAAAATGCTCACCATGAAATATATGTAAAACGTTAAAAACTTATAAAAAATTTATTTTCAGGAATAGACTTGCAGCCAGTTTACAGAAATGTCAAGACTTGTCAGATTACTTCACTGAAAACAGGAAACAAAATTGATCAACGTACCGGAGTGGTAAACTTAAACTGTTCTTTTCGCTTGCAAACTAAAACGCTTTGTTTTCTGCCCTGTTTTGCAGCGATTTATTCGAATGAAGTCAGGCCGTTCGAATATTTGCTTGTTTCTGTTCCTTGAGCTTGAACTTTTAACCAGCCAGGCTAGTATAGATATAATTCGTGTCATAAAATTCTCATTTCTGAGATCGAGAGGTCGTTTGTCGTGGGCAACAAAGCCTGTAGTGTATGCTCAATTCCTTGCCAAAAATTGACTGGATTTTTAATAAAAAGCATTGAACTGCGAAGTACTTCAATATCTAGATTTTGTGTCAAAAATCACCCGAGTCTCGTTAAAAAGTTGTACTTTGATCATATTATACCGTCATGTTTGTTCGCATCAAAACTTGTCACTGTTTTTTAGTCTTGTAAGCTTCCTCAAATGTGCATCGCCAACGAAAGTTCAGTTGAAGAGCTAGCACTGTTGAAGGGCCAAATAGAGCTAACAAGTGCCCATGGCTGCCAATGTATCGACCCTCAATCTCGCTGCTATAAACAGAGAAACATACAGGTGTACCATTGGGGAACTAAATATGAGAAGACTGTTGATGTCGGTCGCTGTGTCGGCTCTTGTCACCAAAAAGGTAGAGTAGACGGCACAGCCACTTTAAATATTTAGCACAGAGGTTTCCATGGCAATGAAATGAAAGATGACTAATGTACATCAATACTGCGGATTTCGACAAAATCTGTTGGAAGTGATAACGCATTTTTCTCTTGTTCCAGAAAAGAAATCTTGTCAACCGATGGCCAGTAAAGTTGTTAATGTCAAAGGTCCAAACGGTAAATGTTATAAGATTTTAATATTGTTCGCTGTCGATCTTGTGATGATAGCGTTACTTCGCTCTGTAATTGGTCCAGAAAATTCGCGCCGCTCTCCTAACCAATCAGATGCAGAACTAAAACCAATCATGACTTGGTCGCCCGCGTTTTCCCGCGCTTCTAGCAGTTTGCTTGGTTTTAGTTTGAGTTCTCAATGGTTCCTTAGGTTATAAGGGCATTTTTTTTCTTCTGATTTGTCTTTTAGTTTTGGTTTTACGACACTCAGCCGACTTATTTTTTCAGGTGCTCTAACAATGAGCTAAAGGAGAGTCGTGCAGGCTAGGCCGTTTAACTACGGCCATGGTGACATACTTTCTGAAAATCGTAAATACCTATTGGACGGTTCGACTCCTGTTGATAGCACTCTGAGTTCTTTTTTTCCGAGTATGCCTGTGTCATTCACTGAATGACACCATTTTCACCTAAATAACCAGGCTTCAAAATGAACCATCTTCATTTACATCGTCATCGCGCAAAAGTATCACGTACCGATATTTATATCCTAGCAGTATACAGAACGTTTGTCACCGTAGAGTACGTTTAACGGCCTAGCCTGCCACGAGTCTTCTATAGCTCAGTGATAAAACATCCGAAGTAATAATCGGAAAATGGTCGTAGGTTCGACTCCTGTCGGGAGCACCTCAAATCTTTACCTCCGAGTATTCCTTTGTCATTCAATAAATAACATCATCTTCACATGAAAAAAACTATCACCAAAATGCGCATGTTGTTAAGGTAAATCAATAAAATGTAAAAGTTCATCGTTATCAGTCTCAGCCACTAAATCTTCATCCTTTCTTTTCATTGCTGAATGTTATTATTTCTGCAGGTGCACACTGCGTTGAAAAAGTTTTAGAGTGTGGCTGCGCGAGAAGTTGTTACCGTATGTCATTTCACCAGTTGTACAAGACAACCATATATGACGGAGATGCTGGTTTAAACAAAACCCTGGAAGTGGTAAATATATGGCACTTATCTGGGTTAATTGGTAGTTTTTCTTTGGTTGAGTGCATGTGTTTATCCTATAACGTTAAAGCCATAACCGGTTCAACACCCCTTCCTCTCCCTTCCCCCCTCCCCCTTCCCCCCCCCCCCCCCATCCAGAAAAGGGTCAATTGAGGTCTTAAGCAAGCCTGTCCATAAAGGAACAAATCTGTTAATTCTACGAACCAAATTATCCTAACCTGCCCCACAGCTGCGTCAAATATGCCTCGTGGCCGAAATTCCAGTTTGCGTTGAAGTGGAGCCAAAAATGCCCGAAAAGTCCTGGGGCCCGTTTCTCGAAGGTCCCAGTAATTTAAGGGGCCCATAAAGCTGTTCTGTTTTCATCTAAGATGGGGGGTTCTAAGGTTTTGAGAATGATACAATTAAACTGGCAGCTAAAGCAACAAAATGGACTGTTTAGGGTTTCAGAGCCTGCTTCTCTATTCTTTAACTTTTGAAGTTAAAATATGGCTTCGAGCCCCTTAGGTTACCGCCGGGACCTTCGAGAAACAGACCCCAGGTCACCAACATCCATTGCCCACTAAAACTTTCTATCGGATGAACTGAGAGTTATAGGAGCAGATACACACAAGAGACATACGCACCACTGGACGAATTTTGCATCCCATAATGAGCATTCGGGTGGAACAAGCAATACTAAATTAACTAACCAATCATCTATCACCTTGAAGCAAACTCATGGGACTTGAAATATTGATAACTTTAAAAACGAACTATAAAACGGTTTATTTCTCTATAGGTCATTGATATCGGCCGATGTGTTGGACAATGTCCTAAGAAGAAGAAGGCGCGCTGTCTTCACTGGTAAGGATTTGAAGCATTTTCCCATTTTTTTTAATAAAAATGTATCAGTGGATATCAAAAACGTACGCACACGGCAAAATTCTTTACTTGGACTTTAAAACCTTATTTACCTGAACACGGTCGACAAAACTCTATCTATCAGCTTATTTATTACCTTTCAGGGTTGATAATCCTTTATGGAGCACAGGCTCTGCTGTTCCGTTTAAAGTGTGTCTGTTGTCGTCCCCACCTGGACAGAATAAAGCAGAATGTCGCCCCAGGTCCTTTGAGAATAGAGCCTTGTATCCTAGCAACGGTGTCTCTAACACTGTTAAGGTCATAAAACGCTGTAAATGCTATTAATACCTGCGTAACCATAGAAACAGTAAAACCCACTTACAACAGTCCTTCAGGTTGAATCCGAAAACCTCTTATGGATTTTGGTTCTGATAAGATTTCAGGCATAGGGATATCAAGCCGATTGATCCGGGGCCTTTTTCACCCCCTCCCCCCTTCCCTTTACCAGGTAACTTTTGTCGAAACCTGGGTTTACTCGCGTGGTAGGGTTGATATTTCTCAATTTTTTTTTAAATGTAAACACTGGCTGGAGCTAACTCAGTTTGGCACTTTCAATCAAATGATTAGGTTTGTTCCTTTTTTAATTTTTTTCCATGCTTTACGACTTCCCACCTTGCCCTCAGTCTCGACTCTTTTGTCACCTTTCAAGTGAGGATCTGTGCTATTCTCAGATAGAAATATTTGCAAATACAGACGGGTAACTTGATTTTTCGTTTAGTGAACCTTGACTGCAAATTAACCCAGGCTTGTGTAAGAAGGCTCTAAACCCTGTGTACAGTCCTTATTCGTAGGGAACTACTCTTGGGTTATTTTTTGGTTCCTAAGATCGCGTGGACAACCCATCAGGTATCTTTTAATCAACCCTCTGCGAAAACATCCCAGAAACGCGCTTGGTGTGTGTAACATTATTTCCAGGAGACCAGATTCCATCAACAAAAAAAAAGATTTAGGAAGGCAGATATCCCTAGATTAATCCTCTTTGTTTGTATAAGAAATATAGGTTCTCATCCTCATGATCTTCTCAACAAAGAGAGGAAGCTTTATATTACTTTTTTAGCAACTTCCATCAAATTCAGACCATTCAGATGACAAATTCGTAGCCTACTAATGATCTAATCCAAGGGCCCTTGTAAGTGGGTTTTATTCTTTGGTCAAAGCCATCAAAGTTCTTTAATTTCTCACTATAGTTGCACTCGACCATATTACACATGAGTTGATGACAATGTTGAAGCGCAAAATGATCATGAGAATGTACTTCGGTGATATTCTCCCACACAGAAGTGTTCGTAAATCCTAAAACCGCTAAAGCAGATATCTCTCAGCTGCAGGAAAGACGGAAAAATTAAAGATCACATGTTTTTTTTCGTTGAGTACTTTATTTCTGTGAGACAGCATATAGACTTGACATAATCGGTTAATGAATCGAACATATGAATAAGATCTGGTTCGTGTCCATAAATATGATTAGCACGCAAGGAGATTTATGAGCACTTTATGTATGATGCACGCACATACACTTGCACTCACTTAAAAGACGTTTATAGCTTCACCTGCAATAAAAGCATTTAAGAACACAACGTGGTCTATTACAATCTCTAAGATTTATTTGGGTATTACAGTATTTTACAGCCTCGTTAGAGAAAAGCTTCTAAGTTTCCGACGTGGTGACTTTAATGACTGAATTGATGAGAAACACTCAGTATCATACAACATAATAAGAAGGACAATCTTTGAAACGGGAAACAAAAGAATACATTTTGATGAAAAATCACTTCTGGGAGTTAAAATGAGTAAAAGTGTTAGCATAGAAGGAGTTCATCTGGTGATAGCTCTAATATTTCACGCTGAATAATACCTTCAGTTTTTTCTCAATTTAAACTTTCCATCACAGTAAGCAATGTTTTCTACAACTGCTCCTTAAATGGAGGATTAATACAGAGGTCTTTTCCTGTTCAAGACTCTGTAACTGAAGCTTTTAGAGGCATATGCACTCATTGACCACCATATTGGACAGTTCCTCGATTTTGGGTTCACCGTCCTTGAAGTACAGAATGACCAGGGGCTCATAAGTCTTAGGTACACAGCAGGGGTCCCCTGGGGCGCTAGGCTTGATCTTGTTGTACAAAGTCATGATGGAGGTGTGATGATTTTTTTTATCAACTCCCCACATAAAAGAACACTGTCCTGCGCAGTAGTTTGGGTAGAAACCTTTAGGCGCATGTATCCAATTCCACCGCAAATCCTTTCGAAAGTCCACGTACAGCGAGCGAAGGCAGCAGCGAGTCTCTTTTGGTCGTATCCGGCAGTAATCCGAATTAAGAGATCGCCTTTTTCTTTTTGTCGACTGCACTCGTTCATTAGGCACAAACCAGGCGAGAATATGCGGCCATGGCTCGTCGTCTTCGCTTTCCGCATTGTTGAGCACTGGATCGACATCGCCCAGATAAATTGGAGAGACATGCCAATCGTTTCCCGTAGGTAAAGAACTTGTAACAGTCACTGTCAATCCGTGGTTCGTTTCTGAATCATCTAACCATCCCTGAACCACTGAGGTCACATCGAAAGAGATCCATTTCTCTTCAGTGGACACGCTCCACTTTGTGCTTAGCACAGTGGAGCAGCCATGTATGTTGTTTTTGTCGTATTTTCGTGTGTTTTCACAAACATCAATTCGCACATCACTCACAGGATGTCGCTGGTTTGGTGTCTGATAAACGCGCAGCTCTGCCAGAGACACGCTAACTTTCTCCTTCACCAGCCTACTGGTATTAAACCTCAGCCAGTATATATCTTTGACATTCCTGTCTTTAGAACCTGTGAAAGAGTCAAGTTATTCTGTCAGTTCGTTACCTATTTCACCATATCGTTCTCTGTTGCACAGTGGTAGAGCATCAGAGCGCGAAATCTGAAGATCTAAGATTTGATTCCTCATGGGAACTCAAATCTTTCCTTCGTCAAACTCTTCGTCAAACAAGACTTTGGAAAAACATCTTTCTTTATCTTGAATTTCGTTTTAAGTTTTTTTTTACAATGCATACAGAAACTTATTCAAGAACAATGTAACCTCGTCCACTTACTTACAACCATTTCTGTCGAAGTACATTGTTTTGTCTGTTTTGTTTTGTCTCGCCATTCTCTCAAACTACAATTTTCGTTTCCTTCACAGTCAGATTAACAGAGTTCCAAGCGTATTTTCCTGTTCTTGTATTTATAAATGATAATTTTATGGGGCTGTCATGACAAGTTAGCAAGAGAAAAGTGAATGTGGCGTTAACTAAAATCTCGGTATTCATTAAATGAAGACAATGGATCATGAAACGACAAAACTAATTATAAGTTTTTTTAAATGTAAATCAGCTTTAGGATTATCATGGCATACTCACTTGATACAGCCGTTCGCGCGACCTCTTTTTCCAGCAGAATTCGCTCAACTCTCTTCGCGAAAAACTCTTCGGTGTCAATCTGGGAACGGCAAATTTTCGTTTCAAGTAAAAGCTTGTCTTTTTCCCTCACCGCACTTTTGTAGGTCTGCAAGACCTGACGACTCACATTCCAAACAGTTTCACTTTCATCCGGGGGCATCTTTAAACCGAGCTTCGCCAAAATTTGTCCTTGGACAGTAATCAATCTTTTCTCTCGTTCCACTTTGCTGTTGCACAACTTACATCCACTTATAGGAGGAACTTGAACAACATTCATCCATATAGCGGACCAAATACAGGTGGAAAAGATCCCGAACATTTGAAATAGCACCGACATTATTTCGAATGAGATTGCACCGAGAGTTGAATTAATAAGGAATATAGTGCTAAATGAATGTCCGTGTAAAACACAATTAAGATCTCTTCAAATGGCAGCCCCATTGAAAGCACCTCCTTTGATAATTCAAGCTTGAATTGAGGTGACGAAACAATACTGATGGCTCGCAGGTGGTAATTAGAGATTATGAAGGCAAAAATATTAATTGTTAAAAAGGATTACAGTTTTCAAAACAAGAGAACTCTCTCTGAACGACCGCTTGTCTGCGTAGAGTGGCTCAAAATGTTCCGAAAATTTTTGCATATTGTTGAAGAGATGGAAACGTCTGGCAAAGTTGTCTTGATGTTCATTTAATATCGTTGAGAGGGAAAATATATTTAACACTAAAAGAATAGTACTCTTCAACGGAACAAAACGGGAAACTTGGCCAATGAGTTCGAAGGAGTTACGCCGCACACAAAAAGCGCAAGAGTCTGGCTTTCTTATCTCTAAATTTTTCTATGCAAGTTGTCTCGCTCGTATTTACATTTACAGTTTTTCTTATACCTATTAAAAAAAGATTGGCACTTTTCGGGAATAATAAAGCTCAATGAGATGAAAACAATTACATTCGATTTCATGCTAATAGATGTCTCCCTAAGGATTCAATGGACTAATGGCTGCCTTCATTACTCCGCTGCTTTTCAACAGACTGACGGTTTAGTAATCCTAGGCGTTATTGTCTTTATTTCCTCACAAGATAAAAATTACATGTATTATGTTACAAAACGGAAACGTTAAAAAGTGGTAAAAAGGTTAAAAATAATAAAATTGTAAACATTTATAAACACTACGCCACAACGCTACCTTGTATTTGAAAATTAGACTAACAACATAGGAATCTTTAGAACGGTTTGGATTAACTTTGGGGCAATAACATGATTTGTTTCTATAATCATATTTCTTTCCCGGCTTTTTCTTTGGGATTAAATTTCTAGGTGGACGGAAATCTAACTTTTGACACTTTATGAGGGCCTCAATGGAGTGTTGGCTTTTACGGCTAATGGTTAAAATTTGGCCATTTTACGGCTTACGGTTAATTTCTTTCCGTTGCAATTAAGAGAAATTTTTTACGGTTAACTTTTGTTACGACCAACGATTAAAATTTTGCCAATTTTTACGCCTGACGGCTAATTTTTTTTGCCGTTTTATGGCAAACGCCGAACCTCATTGACACCCTCGTTTATTGCATATTTTTTTTGTCTAGTTTTTCAAGAAGTTCGCTTGCGTTTTTGTTTTAATTTCACATGAGCTAAGTAAACGAGTCACATCTGTAATTATGACAAGGTCATTAATTAGAAGCGATCACAAACTTAACTTGGGCTGCCAAAACTTCTGTTGTTTAATTAACTTTAAGAGGTCAATTTTTGCTGATAATTTTTGTGCATCTACATCTTACATTCAACACTGTTGCGGTTTATGCTATTTCTCTAAGGGACCAGTCCACATTTATCATCAAGAAGGGAGAAGAGTGGGCTTGAGGATCTCATTACTCTCAGGGGGAACAGAGGGGATTCAGTCGTTGCTAACAGAGTATAAGGGAGAAAATTGACTGCCAACGGGGGGAAGGAGGATCCTTAGAGAACTACAGAGCCGTATAGAGGGATTATGAAAATTTTTGTGACATAACCCGAATATTCCGAACCCCCTCCCCCCCGGCGATAAATAATTACCGGCCATAAATTATTCTTCCATCTCTTCTCTCTCCTTTACTCAATATGTAAACTGCACTTGCTAAAAAAGGTAGTAGAGCTCGATCTATGCAGTAGCGCCTTGTTTATCGACACGCACAGGACTCCACCACAGTTACTCTCTTGTCACCCAATATCTCTACTCTGGTGGATTCTGGGTAACATCCTTTTTGTCTCGTCTTGGTATGGATTACGCATCGCCTTGCTCTTGACCCTGATTCGTCTGGGTTGTTTATCCTGTGTAATGAAATGAATCAGTGGGCAGACGGTTACATCCAAGAGCATCAATGTTCTACCATTATCCAAATCTATCATTGTACTTCCCTTTAGGGACCGGTCATTTTTCACCCTGTCTGGGGGTGGGGAGGACAGAAGATTTTGCGGATCACACATGGTTTGCAGGGATCTTAAAAAAATTTGAGAGCCCGATGGTCCACCACTCGAAAACATAATTTCTGCTTAGCAACCTTTTAATGCTTCATAGATAAACTGGATTTCATCTCATTCTCACAACAATACTTACCAGAAAAGACATTCACCCTTCACATGTCCAGAACAAGTTCCGACGCAGCGTCCAACATCAATGATCTGAAAAAAAAATTGAATAAACTGAAATAAGATAGCAAAAAAAGCATTCACCTTCAACATTGTTGTACCTGTCGGAAAAGCAATGTTTCTTTAACCAAAACGCACTGACGAATATTTATTAAAAGCAAAAACTGGATCACAGTTATTTAAACCTAGCCTTCTGATTGGCTGAACGGAGCCACGTTATGAGCTTGTAACCTCTTGCAACCTAATAGTACCGAGCTCAACGAAAAGAGAAAAAATTCTGTGAGCGAGCTGTGAAGCAATGCCACTAAATTTGGTATGAAAATGGTTTAAGGTATTTTACGGAAACTTAAGTCTATTTGCTATATGCATAACATGATTTGTTTACATGTTGTTTTTTTCTTCCGTCCGTTGTTAAACCAAATAAAATCTAGTTGGTAGCGTTGTTTTTAGTGCGCGCTTTTGCCAAAACAGTTTTTCTACTCAAGCTTGTCGAACATGAGATTATTATAACCAACTATTTATGATATCATCTCGTATTTGATGCGCCCTCGTAGAATAATTGTTAATTAGTTACTGAGGTTCATTCATATTTGATGGTTTCTCTGTCGTGTAGGAGTAGTAGTACTTTTTTGTCTTACCTCTGTCATGGTTGTATTGTTAAGTTGGATTTGAACAGCCTCATTATGTGAGGCCCTGTAGCATTTTCTCTCACACCCGCATGATTGAATCACCTCAACACATCTGGCCCCTGAACATAAAACATTCGGCCAGTAAGCTTTATTAAGTACATTGCAACAGTCGACGGACTAGGTGAACAATGTAATTTTTTTCCTTAAGCCAAGTTTAACATAATTGTATTAGAAGTCATAGCCCGTTTACGATATGTTCATTATTTAAAGCTAGGAGGGGGGTAAGGGGCCGGGGTTTTTGGTTGTGTCACGATGATATTTACTGAGTTCCCCCATAAAGCTCGGTGATATTCCTATGACCCCAGCAGTTAATTGGCAGTCAATTTTCTACAATCCCTCCTTTGTACTCTGTTGGCAACGACATTTCCCCCCCCCCCCAGGTTCCCCGAGAAAACCTTGTGACCCCCCCAGAAAAATCCTCCAGGCCCCCCCCCTCCCCACCCCCAGCCCCGAATAAATTATTACTAGAGATCATTAAGTTACAGATGACCGAATTTTGTTTTTTGGTTTTCTGTTGACGTTATTGTTCCTTACCGTTCGGACCCATAATTGTGACGGTTTTTGAAGAGGTTGATCGGCATTTGACGTCGCGTGCGCCTGAGAAAACGAGAGAAACTAAAATTAATTGAAGGCAACCCAATCAAACAGGTCAGAAGGCCTGGTTACCCATACAGGACCCTTGTTATATATCATGATCTGGCTCACGTCCTAGCTCGTCAAAAAAATATTTGTGGGGGGAAACAAGCCGCCACAAAATAGACGGCTATGGTTTCAATCATTACGGTTAATTCAGATATTCTTTGCCCCGAGCTCATAACAGATGTGTGGTATCATTTTTCACTAATCCATAACGAAGTCTCGTACCCATACCTTCCACGGTCAACTAGTTACATGGTAGGATCTGGGTACGAGATTATGCATAACCTTGCTCAAAATTCACAATTTGTCTTTCTCTTTCCATGCTTGTATTAACGGAGCAAAATTCTCTCGAAACTATTCTAGTCCATTCTAGACGTTAAGTTAGAAAACGGAACGAAACAACAAACCATGCAATAGCAGAGGCGAATTGAAAAAGCGTTGAGTAACGCGCTTCGTTTTACCGACTGACTGCCTGGAACAGGCTAAAACAGAGAAAATGTTTAACTCTGACATTAAGGAGCATATATGAATTCAATTAAGACACCACTGACGGCATTTCTAGATTCCAAAGGGTAATCCAACCTTCCCAAAATTGATTTATAACAATTTTTAAACGTTAACCGCCTTTTTTCTTATTTTAACCTGGCTGTTTAACTGTTATGTAGTAAAGCTTTATTCCTCATTGTTTTCCTTTCAAGCGAGTTTATCCAAACAATAAGGATCCAAAGAAAAAGGCTATCATGATTCAAACAATACTTTGATCGCAACAACCAGTGCTTAGAGAAGAAAAATGCTTTACAAACCATACGTTCTCCCATTAAAAAGCATATATGAAGATTGACTTCTTAACGCGTTTCGAATTTGTAATTCAGAAATTGTCTTCAAGAGTGCAAAATATTCGAACATGGATGATGCCATTTTGAAAAAGAGCTCATTAACATGGCTGCACACACAACGCCATTCTTACTTGCATCAGAACCTGCCATAAGTATCTATCATTTGGCGCGCTTTGAACCCCAAAATAAGCACTTACCGTGTGAGAGGCACTTTCCAACGCACTGACCAACATCTACTCTCGTTTCAAACTTAGTCCCTCTGAAAAAGACTTGCTCAGAAGGTATACGCTGACATTTCTTTTCACGTGACGTACAGGTGCAGCTGAGAGCGCTTGTGACGTCACGAACATCGCTCAAGGACCTGACGGTTTTTACTTCGGCCAGGGAGGCAGTGCAAAAATTGGTACCAGGACAAAGTTTCTGAAAAATGTCAAGGTATGTGGACACGTAAGTACGTCTTATGTAAAGAACACACTCGCTACAGGGGAAGTCTCGTTGCTTCGGACATTACGCATCTCTATATCCAATTGGTTAATTCTTGTAAGAACAGTCTTCAAGGTAAAATAAAACACGTTTCAAATGTGAAAAGGTTCGAATGAGCTAACTTTTCATTATAAACTACCGTCTTATGGCTTCTCGCGGAAAGGAATTTTGAACATGTTGCGTTAAAAAATTCTTGCAAGTGAACATCGTTTTTTTGCCCTCGTATGTTAATGCGGCGCAAAACCCCTTTGCAGCACTTCTCGCGCGCATTATTAAATTTTTGTCGGAACTGAATCGCGCACGTCAATCAGTCAGATTTCAGAGTAACGCCTACGATTTTTCTAAACCCATCATGAAACCCGGTAGTTAAGCCTGAGTAAGTGTGTGGACGTATTAACTCTCTACACCCTAACATCAGTATGCATATTCTCCACACTGCTCTATATACATTTCCTAAGGAGCTGACAGAGAGAATTTGTTTGCCAACCAAAATCTTCCTTTTCCGGTGACCATTTCCTTTATTCTCATGACCTTAATGTGCGATTCAGGAGTGACTTTGTAGGGAGAAATTAGATGCTCGTCACTCTTAGGATTTACAGGGATGCATAGCATTACCCTCCCTCATCCTCCGATCTATTTTAATCGACCATCACTTCCTGGTTTGTTAAACCCCGCTCTTTATTGCACTCCGGTTGTGTAACAAGCTCAAGAGCCTCTTAACTTCTTAGTTCTCAAAGGATATTGAATAAGTGGTTTTAGAGCGATTCTTCGCGAGTTTCAACTGTTTTTAATGCACGAAACGTTTACCCATTTGTGCGCTTCTAAGCTAAAACTCGTGAATCGTAACTTGAAAATAAGTTGATACACACCTCATCTTCCTCTAGTTCCTGATCGTTCCTAGTGGCGTCTACAATACTTGTTTGACAACTAATCACGTTGATTTTGTGTCCAATTCCTGAAACGAAATGATACGGTTTGAACACTTGAGGTACTTATTGTTGAAAACAGCAAACATCACGCGCTGGCAGCAAGTCACTCATCGTCAAGTGTTTTGATTCCGTGTAACTTGACGCTCTGGTATTGCTTCTGTTTATCTTTTTTTTTTGTGCTGAGAGGTTGGCATTTCGTGCACATATTGTAGACTGGTATTAGAGCTCTTAAAGGTCCTTGAAAGTAGACGCAATTTTTTTGTTTTTCAATCCTACCTTCCGTCATTCAACGACTTGGCTCAAATGTAACTCTCTGAAGAATATCTCTACAAAAACGCTTTCGACACGCTTTTCTAACTTTACTTAAGACGTATGCTACATACGTACCCTTCCTGAAATGGCCTTCGCCTTAACAACCATTGGTAGTATAACCCTTTTTTTCGTGAGTCGATGTGGTTACCCCTATCCCACATCCAATGTGTGTTCCGGACTTTTAAATGCTTCCACAAGATGTCCTATTATAAATAGCCTAAGATGAGGAATCCACCGTGCTGGATCAACAAAACACTACGATCAGTATACTGTGTGTGATCAACAAGTTCAGCTGCTCGTGAAAAACCGCCAATGTCAAGTGTTGGGACACGTGATGTGTTTTTTAGCATAATCTTTGTTTTCGGCTCCGAGTGTTATTCTTAATATAGTACTGACATGATCTTCGATAGTGTTTGTATACTGGTTTATCGCTACACGTTTCTTACAGCCATACGCCATCTTTCTCAAAATAACAACGTGGAAAGACAAAAGATTAATACACATGACCATTCTTAGATTTGAAAATCGTCGGCTACCAAAATGAACCTTTTTACGTTTAAAAGAATCGAGAGCTGTAGATAGTTTGGCCGGACACCGGAAGCTGAAAACATGAATTGTGAAACGGAAATGAAATTTAAATTCGTTTTTCAATGCGCATTCTCCCTTGTTGTTCCATTGGTCTCCACTTATTTAATTTTCGATTCCTTTTACTCTTCATTTTTGCGTCTCAGAGCTAGAACCGAAAGCACTCATACACCCCCTGCACACGTTTTGTCTTCCCTCATTAAATTTGTCTTTTTCGGTTCCATTTGCCTTCTCGCGCATAAGTTTCTTACGATCTTAATAGACTGTAGTTGAGAGGAAAGAAAACACATTGACAATTGAGATGGAATAAATAGACATGTTTTTTCCTCTCGTTGAAATTGAGGAAACATTTAACAGTAAACAACTGAAAACAAGCTATTTTGAATGAAAAAACTTAACGTTATAACAATGAAGTTGGTCTGTGGTAATAAAAGACTTGAACTCTGTTGTTCAGCACTTGCATTCCAATTTAGCACAGTGAAAAACAGTTTTTTCTCTTCTCGTTAGCATTGTCTAAGTTGTAATCTCGAGTTTTCCTTAATTTCTACATCTGTGGTATACCTGTATGCACTGTGCCCGTGGTTGTCCTGTGACATATTCTCCTCATCATGTTATGTTTCTGAAGCCAGTGACCAATAGCGCTGTCGGGAAGTGAGTTCAAGGGTCCTTCTAAATATAAGAAGAAAGTATTAATTTAGAAAGTGTTTGTAATTTTTTCGTATTTGGTAGTAATTGATTCAATACACTCCTGTATTTAGCTGGTTTTCTTCTGCATGTTACTTTTCTCGTTGAGCCCTTTTGCGTCACGAGTCGAGCTATCACCATAAAACTAAAGTCAAAATTTATGTTAATCTAAGCTCGAGAGTTGCCGCACAACCCATGAAACCCTTCAACGCGGCAAGCTAACTTTGCGGCAAGAAGCGAGGCGCTCGGCGACCTGGTTTCAAACTTAATTCATGAATTGGTTCAATGTATCTTAAATGGCTAAAAACTGAAGGGAGATTTCAGTTGTTATTTCGCGTCTTAAGTCATGATTTTACTTTGCGCTACTAAATCATATTGGACTTTTGAACCCGTCCTCAAGCAACTGTGATAGGGACCTGACGTAAACACAAACCAGGACAGCTACGGAAACGAATAAACTGGAAAAACAAATGATTTATGTGCAAAACAATCTGCACGTGCGTTATAAACTTATTAAGTTTCCTAATCGTCCTCTGAAAAATAACAACGCGAAATCGCTAGATGAACGGAAACCCCAACACCAAAGATTTCACGTTTCTCTTTGGAACTCTAAGATGCCGGCCTTCGTTAAAGAGAAGGTCTGACGGTGTTTAAAACATTAAAAACATCAAAATGTATGCGGAAGGGTAGCGAAAAATGTATGTTTATTGTTAAAGGATGTTTTTTATGTCGGCGTTTTCGCGGACGTGCTGGGGTGAGGTCCTTAATTACGCTGCTAGGTCAAATCCGTTCGGCAGAGCAATAGCGTGAAGTTTGAAATAGAACTAATTCAATCAGTGCCCGTCAAAACAAGATTTAAACAACAGCATACAAAATAATAATTTAACTTAAGTTTGATCGCCTCAACTCTTGCAAAAATAGTTCTAGTTTTGCTTGTTCTGTATAACTAGTTTTATTGACAAACAAACAAATGATACTGAGAGAAAGGCTGTAATCTGGTGTAATAACATGAAGAGCTGCCAAAGTAAAGTTTTTTCACTAAACATGTCTTCTGATTAAACTGTTCAAGTCACCTCTTCATCCCCCCCAGTACTGTTGGATTAGTCAAGGAAATTCCCTATACTCGAGTATTCCGGCATGGGGTAAAACGCAGGGAGGACATCTTGTCCTAAAAGCTTTACACTTAGTAAATCGTATTACGTCGAGATGAAAAGCGAGTTTGCCACGCGAGATTGAATTCGAGTCGAGAATTTTTCTCGCAGAGCCTAGGGGGTATTTTCCACAGAGGCGCCAACCAATTTACAAGATGTAAAAGGCCTTATTTTTAAAGGAGCTGTTCCCTTAGAGACAAGCAAGATTTATCTAAAAGAACGGCTGATGTAGAGTGGGATTAGTCCATTTTATAATAAGACCAGACTAAATCACTTCTTATTTTGGCAAAAACAAGTGATTTATATAGCTTTGGTTTTAAGTATCACAAAGTTGATCGCATTTTCGAATTTTTGGTGTCTATTCATCTTATTTCGTGTCATCCTGTTAATTCGCAAAGCACTGAGTATTCTGTCAAGACAGAACGCCGTGTTTATTACACCTAAACAAGCTTGACACACGTTCGGCTTATGATTACGAAAGGCTCGAAACGCCGTCAGCTTTAAAAACTCACCACCGTGGCCAATGTACATTATCAACTCAGCTGATGAAATCAAATCACCCTGACTTAAGTTTGCCCCCTCCCCCCTCCCCCCTCGCCGTTAGAACAACGTACTATTAACTTCATACTACGAATTTTAAACATGAAATGAAGTGAGCGTCAACCTCAAATCTATAAACAGCTTTTTTTTCTATTTCGCCAAAATAGACAGTTTTATGCTAATGCAATTAAGGCAAAACCGTTATATTTTTTAAGCTGCACCTTGCCGAGTGGGGCGCATGGTTTACTGCAATCATTGGCATGTGATCCTCTATGTTTTCTGAGATGCTATCAAAGCAGCAGATAAGCATCAGCTATTGAACTCGATGACTTCCTCGGATACGTGAGTCAAAAGGGGTTTGAAGAAAATGTCGCAAATAAACTGATTGAAACCAACTTTCCTTACTTATCATTTTGGAACACTTTTAATGAAAAAACAAGCTTAGAAGTAACTTACCTTGGTTGAAATGAAGACTTCTCGGCTCTGTTTTTCTATGCATGAGGAACACAAGGCACAGGCAAACGGAAACTGGTCGAGACATTTCTGCTGTGTACGTTTGCAATCGTTTTCAAGCACAGAATAGCTTCGTTTATTACTCTTTACCGTATTTATATACATTCAATAAGGTTCTGCCTTTGCGCTTTTATTTTTAAGGCACGAGTTGTGACAATACTGTCTGGTTTAGGATGTTTTATTATAGCAATTTTATTGTAATGTGTTTGTCTCATCCAACTTAAACAATCAAAGTAGCTAAGTTTCCATTCTGTCATCTTCTATTGGTTTGATGAGAGCCACATCGGTTGCAACAAACCGGGTCTTTTTTTTTGTTGTTTCAATCTCGGATTCTGACAATGAGGCATGTCTAGATCCACTCATTATTAAAAAAATTCGACTTATGAATTTTTCTACGATTTCTTTATAACGTGATTAACAACTAAACGCCTTTTTTTTTTTTTTTCATTCTTAATTTCGCTTGTTGGGATTATTGTGTCTGGCAGTTAGGGGATATTATTGTCTTGAATATACAATTCAAACAATATTTTTAGTTAAGTTTTTATCGAGTTGGTTTTTTAATTTTTTTATCTGTTTATCTTATCTTTTTCGCGAAAGCTGATTTTACCAACTGTGAGCTTCTAACCCGTTCTTTTTCTCTCGTTAGACTAAGTGTCTCAATTTATACATATTTGCTGTACGTTTTTTTTTTAAGTCCTATCTCAGGTAAACAGAACACGTAGAACTTTATAACTTGAAGAGAGAATGAGAGAATCTCGGCAGGAGAGAATGAGCCACAGAGGATAAAAGAGATACATGTTACAAAGTGTCCTGTTTATTGCCAGAATATTAATTTCGATGCAATGCAATTTAGTTTGTATTCAGACAGCTCAAAAACCCCCGACACTGACCTGACTTGTCTATATCAGTGTCAATACGTTTAAAATTACAACATTGGAAAATTACACTTTTGTTGTTCATTGTGCTGAGTTGACCCTCGTACTTAAACAACAAAAAAAACGTGTGTTTGCCTCCTGAGTGAAAAACACAGAAAGTATATTTAAATCAAAACAAAACAAAAAAAGGGGAGAAGGGTCACTGAAAGAACTTAAGTAAGGATAAACTCAAATTTTGTCCAGAGATCCTGAAAATTAAAATTGATCCCAGACTTTACGTGGAGACAAAGCTCTCTCAAGCAACTATTCAATGCAATCCACCTGTGCACTTTTAAGAGCCAGTTGGGTAGAATTCTAATGAAGGAATTATAAGTTAATTAATACAATTTTTTGTATGCTGACAAAAGGTCGAACTACTTTTCTTAGCTCGGAAAAAATCCGTTTCTTTTTTACATTAGAATTACTTATGGATAAAAGTGCCCAGAGATCAGGACAAACAGGAATATTAGTTAAATTGAAGACGGTAAATTCAAATCTTGCGCTATTTACATGACAGTTTTTGCCAGCGATGTTTGATTTTGGCCAAAATTGTAAGACGCCGACAATTCTACTTTTTCTCTTGCTCTCTTTTTACCGCATTATTGTCTACTCATTAACAAAGTTGTTGCGCGCATTGTAACAATCTAGACAACAAAGACTACTTTGCAAACACGTGGCAAGCTTAACTTTTAGAAGAGAGCTTAGAATATGAAACAAACCGATACCGACAAACGCGTGTGTATCAATGAAATGTTGGCTTGCTCACCACATGTGCTTACAAAGAAAAAAATTCCCTTTTTGTGATGTCCACCGTAAGCCGCCTGAACTTATTTAACTTGCCGCCAGAGTAAGCGAAGGTATTATCAGGTTATCGCCATCAAAGACAGGACAATTTCGGTAGAAACCACAAACGCACATCTTTACTTGGCCGGCGGAAAAAAACCGGTCTACTTGAAAGGTTTGCGTACGTCAGCAGAGGTATGACAAAGCTTATAATTAAAGCGACTTTGTTTACAACGATTCACTTATAGTAAACGTGTGAAATGAAGATATATTTCTTTCATCGAATGAA